CAAGGCGATCCATCTACAAAATTTACCTTGATGTGGGTGCAGAGGTGTTAAACGCTTCACTTGCTTTCTTGCTTTCTTTGAAACACTCGTCTGCAGCCTGCAAGGCAGCTACCGCCATGCCGTGTGATTTCTCTGTGTTTCCTTCATCAAGAATCAAACCGTGGTAGTAGTAAGCTGCAGCCTGGTATTACAAATCCACAGAGATACTGATCTTAGTGAAAATTGAAGCCTTTGTACAGATCCAATGATGTGAGAAAGACGTCCAAACAGTACCTTAGCTTCGACATACTTCCACTTAACAAAGAGCCTATGCTTTTCTCCCCAACCATTTGCTAATGGAAGATTCATTAAGTTATCTTGTGCCTGATAAGTGTCCATCAACAAGTGTGAGAAAGCTTTCAACCCGCACGATAAATTTTACAACCGGAAATACAGAAGAAACACTAACAATTCTTCCATGAGCCTCACGCAATAGAGGGGGGTAAAAGTAGTGTAACCAAATCAAGCAAGGTTTCTACTTTCTAGTTAAATTTCTCTCTTTTCAGTATAGAATAACTTAGTGGACACTTTTGATGATTATATTTCGTTATTTATGGTACCAACTTAGTAAGCAATTTAGTCACATGTTAAAACCTCAAACATGGGTGATCAGCAGACACAAGTTAGTGACACTTTTATGATAGTGAAATTACCACTTTTCTTCTCTTTTTGTTTTTGGTTTTATATCTCATTAACTTAAAGTGGATATTACACACTACTCGCATTAGGTTATCTTCCTAGCGTCTCACTTCATTATAATAATAAAGTGATAACCAGAAAAGTTCTACAAGATAACATATTTGATAAGGTAAAGGAATACCTGCTGCCAGTATTTCACCATTTCACACGAGAGTCTTCGTTTCACTGCGAGAGTGGCTTTTGCGCTATCAATCGCCATTCCAAGTTGGATATCAACACCCTAAAATCAGAAAATTTATATCTTATAAGAGGACTGCAAATGTCAATCAATATACTCAAAAGTATCTACCTAGAGGTCCTCAAAAAGTATCTCTGCGAGCTCTAATTAGGTGAACATAACGAAGATTATAACTTCACAAATAATCTAGGCAACACATGTAGCAAATCATAAGCAGTTAAGTGTAAATCCCAACAAAAAGAGGATTTACCTGGCCTAATGCTTGCAAGCAAAGAGCCCGTAGAGTTCCTTCTGCTAGGTCAACTGGTAAACTTCTCCTGCAGAAAAGGGAAAGAAAAAAAAAAGCTGTCTCAATAGGGTTAATCAGAAGGATAACCAATTATAATGTTGTTTACATAAGAAACTTTGTTATATATGAACCTTAGCTCGGCTGAAAACTGAGGGAGAACGTGCTTAACAGCACAATCAAGGTATCCAGCTGCCTTTAAGAAGATATCAATTGAAGCTCGCCTGTTTTCTACAATCGATTGAAACAAGCAAACTGTTAAGCCTGAGGGACCTTACCATTACATTTAACAATAACAAACGATATATCTTGAAGAGTATCTGACTGAAAGCAAGGCCAGAGAGACTGGAGCAAAAGCAGGCAGTACGAAACTGTATTGTCCACAACATTTTATTCATAAAAAGAGATCCATTTGCACCCTTTACATATTTCTACTTGCCTGCCTTATCCATCCATCTAGATGATCTTAGCTATCATCTATAAACTAGCTACCAAATTCCTTCTTCAGAATTAAAGAAATGCTATAAAAGGTTATTGGATGACTAAAGAGAACAATGTACTGGTGCTTATGAATTTTCAAGAAGATGTGAGGAGGAAGTGAATCTAACGAGAAACAACTAAGACGTATGAGTACATTGCTCAGGGAACTGAAGATATATGAACAATTTCGAAGGTCTAACCTTCTGATACTTTTGGATGGTAGCCATCAGTGGAACCTCTAGGAAGAAGCAGTAAATTGGCTTGTGACATTTGTAGCATTGCCATTAGATGCAAAACCGACAATATTTCATACCAAACATATGACATGGCTGTTTCCTGGTAGAAGTAAATAATCTTGTCATATATTCAACAACCTTCAATGTAAGATTCAAAATTTTAACAAGAAAGAGCTATCAAAACACCACAGTTAGAGATAAACTGCTTTGATTGATTACCGTACCTCTTCCTCATCCTCCTGATTTACCCAATTAAACTGTACTTTGAATTGTAAATGGCTACCTGAACATAAAGCCGATGCATTTTCAGGATATCTGCAACCAAACATATATCAATTCTGTAGCATATAAAAAGTATATTACCATCTTTAGTTAATCCTAAGAGAACAGGTAAATATTCTTCTAAAGATTGGTGAAGATCTGCGAGGGTTGAACCTCCTGCAAGAAAAAATTCCGGTGAGTTCGAAGAAAGAAAGCAAGGCAAAGAGGAAAAAGAAACAGACAAGATATTCTCACATACCATGTTGTGTCTTTCTCCTAGTTCTTGTTATCGTCGGTCCTTCTTGATTAGCCATCACAACAATCCGCGTTCTTAAAGCTGTTAGACGCTCCACTAGAGTCTTTGGCAATTGATCACCCAGTGACTGAGAAAACTCGACTGGCTTGGGTATCCTTAAACCGGGTACATATACCGAAACGTCCCCGATGCTCGTTGGCTTTCTTCTGTTTCCACCAGCGTCCTTCGGCCTTGATGCAAAGCATCCCATTTCTAGAGCTTAACAAATCTACAATCCCACAAATAAAAACAGAAACAGAGATTAACCTCGAACTGAACTTCTTTCACATCCCCATAACACTGACCAAATTTGATTCATGATTAAGCTAAGAGACAATAAGATGATGATCCTACATCGAACATGGTACAAGAAGACTACAGTACATTAATTGATGTCCAACCAAAAACAGCCTAACTCTTTTCTCATCCACTAAATTCATAAGATAAAAGTTAAACTAGCTCACGAGCCATCTGCCACACTACAATCTTCATAATTCTACGTGACCAGAAAAATTGACAATGTCCAAAGCAGAAACAAACAAGCAAAACGACAGATCAGATAGACATGGTTATCGAAAAACAAAGAGAGAGTTTTGATTTTCTCACCTACCTCTTGACGTTTATCAGAATTATTGGCTAAAAGACATATATAATTCAAGTGATTGCTGCAAGAAAGAAAAAGAAAGAGACTTTAAATCAGCAAAAACAAGAACATGTGACTCACAGACAAAGCATGAAACTTTTCAATCTCCTCTTCACAATTTTTCTCCACTATGAAAACGAATTCAAAAGGTAAACAAAAACCCTTTTGAAAAACGAGGATCTTCCAAGTCCAAGAAGCAACTTGACATGAAAAAAACGAAGATTTTGAGTAAAGGGTCATCAAGGATAATGCTAAAACCCATTAAAAACGAGGTTTTTTCTCCCAACTTGACATGAAAAAACGAAGCTTTTGAGTAAAGGTTGATCGATGATAATGCTAAAAACTCGTAACTGATTTAAACAAAAACTTCAATCCATGAAGAAAAGAGTACCGGAAAGCAACACTTTTTCCCCTAAAAACCTCAAAACCCTAATTCAGACACAGAGGCGAGAAAGGGTTATGAATCCGAACAATTATGAATCAGAAATTCAACAAATAAAAACCTTACCTTTAAGAAATGCTCTTGCTTTTTTTCCTCGAAAATTGGATATTGAGAAATGGAAACTAGAGAGATGATGCTCGATTGCGAAATGTCTCAATGATTTTTATCATGATTCAAGCGATGCAAGAAGATGGTAGTTAAAGAGGATGGGGCTTGAGACAGAGAGCAGAGGATGAAAATGAGAAAT